TGTGAGCAATTACTGTATCATGGGATCAATGTGTGTGGCACCATGCTGAATCCATACGTGCTGGAATAGGACTGTCTGCCTCAGACGTCTTCCTCACTCTGGTATGAATGGGCCCTGGGTCCTCATGGACACCCTCACATCTAGAGATCCATCATCCTTTCTTCCAGCCTCCTTGTACTAGGGAGGGTGAAGCTCACCACACATGTCATGTGGATACTAGTTCTGTTTTATTTTTTTTGTGGGGTGGTGGTGGTGGTAATGGTGAGGAGTGGTCTCAGTAATAGTTCCTCTTGGCCTGTAACTCATTCTGTATCCCAGGCTGACCTCAACAGATCCTGCCTCAGCCTCACCAGGGCTAGGATTCCAGGCCTGCCTACCATGCCTGGCTCCAGTGCCCACATCTAACAGTCACACATTCTCCACGTGGGTGTAAACTTAAAATGAAGGTCAGTGGGAAAACTAAGTGGTTTGGCCAGTGAACCTTATTGTGCTTTTTGATAAAGGACAAGGCTGTGTGGTATGACTCATGGTAAAATGATAAGTACAGTTTAAATTCTGAAAACTATAGGATACTTAAAGACCTTGGGTGTGGGGTGTTTTAGTCTGCTTTTGTTGCTAGGTATAACCGAATATCACAGCTTAGGTAATTTATATAGAACAAACACTTGCTTACTTCTTGAATTTCAGTCTAAAAATACTTATTTTTATTTTATGTGTACATGTTTTGCTTGCGTGTATGTGTGTGTACACTGTGTGCATGTCTGGTGACCACAGAGGCCGTCAGCTCTCCTGGAACAGGAGTTACAGGTTGTGGCTGCCATGTGGGTGCTGGAATTAAGGCCAGGTCCTCTGCAAGAGCAGCAAGCACTCTTAACCACTGAATCATCTCTCTGTCCCTGGAATGAACATTTATTTAGTTCATGGTTCTAGTAAGGGACTACTTTGGAAAGGTCCTTTTGAGATTCCACCTCAAACTTGGATTGCGGAGTTCACAGTGTCAAGTACCAACCACTACTCTGTGGGACTGACAGGCCTTCTTGCTGGTAGGGTCTCTGCAGTCTCTCAGTGGCAGAGGGTGTCACACGGTAAGAGGAACACACCCCGAGGCAGCAGTAAAGGGATTTTTATGGGAGGACCCCTGGAGACTGATCCGTTAGCCTTTTAGTCCATGAATATCTTAGTCATAAATGAAGACAGAGTAATGATCTCTCCTGACCAGACTTAAGCAAGGATTAATCTCAGCCTGAGTCTTAGTGAGGACAAGCCATATTCAGACCATAGCTTTGGTTCTAGCATGGTGCACCCAAGTGAGCAAATGGCCCTGGGGTGTTGGTATGGTCAGGTAGAGACCAGGACAGTTTTATCCATCATCAATGAGCAACATAGGTCAAACCATGACATTTTCCACTCAGAGGTCTGTTGAAATCTTGATAGATGGAACATTTTTTCTTTTTGTTATAGTTTGCAAAGAGCCCTTCCTGGTTATAGTAAGCAGAAGCCTGTCTTGAGGTGCCGTAATTTTAGTCTTACACACATAGGGTTTATGTGTTGTTTTTTTCTCTGCCTTCTTGGAGAGCTCACTTTCTGTTTGGCCCCATGACTGCTGCATCACAAAAGAAGCAGTGAGAAATCCAGCCTGTGTTTTAACAAGATTCCTGGTCTCTTGGTTAGCAATTGAGGCTAATGGCTCCATGTGGATGGATTGAACAGAGTCCTCAATCCTGCCCTTGTTACAGAAGAAACTGGTGCTTAGGGCAGTGGCGGAGTCCAGGCTTACAGCATCTCCAGAGCCAAAGTCTTAGTGCCAAGCCTTCATTCATGTATTTATTCTGCAGTTATAAAGTGATGCCCCCACATGTGGGGTCACGAGTCCTTCAGCAGAGTGGTGACATCCTCCAGCAGGGTGATGATGCCTTCCAGTTGAGTGGTGGTTACAGTCACCACATTACCTGGAACTATGACAAGACCCTGTCCCAATGTCAGTGATTTTGATTACCCACTGAGATTGATGTGGAGTCCAAAGGGAGACACAGTGATTTCTGCAAACCTCCTGTGGGGGTGGAATTAGGCCTATGAGAGGGTAAGGATGGTGGGATGGTCCTGGGCAGCAGGTCCAGGCCATGTGGCTAGACCACACCTATAGGGAAGGTGCAGGGCTCCCCTGAGGCCTCCATAGCCTTTTGGCCAGATTTGCCTGTGAGCAACTGCAGTTTGGTAGGGTCCTTGCTCCAGGTCCAAGAGCCTCAGATCCACCTTTTGTGGTTCCTGACATCATCTCATTTGGAACAAAAGACAGGGAGCAGCTCTTTGGGTGGTGGGGAGAGGCCTAGATGTCACCCTGGAGACTGGCAGTGTCTCCAAAATGACTACAGACATGGTGGCTTTCTCCTTTCCTATTCAGGTATCATATGAGTTCTTGGCAGAAAATGGAACAAGACAAAAACAAATAAACAAACAAAAAACCCACAAACCTACAGAACTATAAGAGGGAAATGGAGCAGAACTGTGTCCCAGAAAGAAACTGCTTCTCTTCCAGCGTATATTCAGCAACCAGTCTGCATCAGCATGGATGTGGGTGTCTGTTGTGTGACTGATTCATGTCTCCATGATCCTGATTTGAATGACTGAACTTGAGCCCCACCCCCAATGGTGGGAAAGCGATGAGCCCCTCCACCCTGGGATGCTTGGAAACTGATGAGCATTCAGTGGAAACTGTATTGATTTGAACTTGGATCTCTTTCTGGACTTGTGCTATATGGTATATCTCTAAAGTGTACCGTGGTAGCCACCTCTGCTCTGGTTAGCTGTGTGGTCACAACAGGACATGGGGACCTCTTTGGTGTTGCTGCCAAGTTATTCTCCAGGTTAGATGTGTTAATTAAAAGTTATTAATTGTGTGTGTGTGTGTGTGTGTGTGTGTGTGTGTGTGTGTGTGTGTGTCTGTCTGTCTGTCTGTCTGTCTGTCTGTCTGTCTGTAGGCCATGCCTGTGCAGGTGCCACAGAGGCCAGAAGAGGGCTGTGGAGTCACTGGAGCTGGAGGTAGAGTTGTGAGCTGCCCAGTGCAGGTGCTGGGAACTATAGGTCTTCTGGAAGCTTAGGAGGCTCTCTAAACTGCTCAGCTATCTTTCCAGTCCTTAAACTCAGTTTTGTTTTATGGTATTTCCACTTCGGGTGGGTTTCTCGGGGACCTGCTCCATTGTTAATGAGGTGAGGTCCAGAGCTTGGACAGGACCCATTGGTCATCATCTACCTAGGATGTGTTTCTACTGTAGAGCATCCATGGCACCTACACAACTGTACAGTCACAACTCTTTGCCGTTTGCCCTTTGTAGTTTTGTAAACACTGTCTACATGTCCTGTGCCACTCACTCTGGGTCGATTGTTTTAGGATCCCTCTTGAGAACTGATGGGTCCTAAATACTTGTCATATCCACTCACAGCATCCTCAAATCAGAACCCAGTTGACATATCAGCAGCACTTGTACAAAAATCTTCTTAGAAGTTTCTGTTTCTTGTATTCTAATAAATACAAATTCTGTTCTGAGATCATCTAGTCTGAGTCCCGAGTTCAATTCCCGCCTTCTGAGGGACATCAGGCTCTTCCTGGAGTCTTTCACAGATTCGAGGGTACAAGAGTGGATTGGGAGGACAAGAAGGGAGGTTCTGGAGGCCGAAGGACTCCCTGGGCTGGATGTGTACAGTAAAGACTGTGGTTACTTGGGGCTAGACAGAGTTCCAAGCTATGATATGGAGCATGCCAGTGACCCCTAAGGGCCTGGGGGTAGGGTGGGGCCCTGGCCCTGTCATCTGAAGGAGAGGAGCAGCCTCCACTATCCTAGGGAGAAGGTGCTATGGAGTACAGCCACTTGAATGTTCTGGATACCTTGATGTCCAACATAGGGTGTGGATTCTGGCCTCTGCTCCGGAGGCAAGGGTTTCCTATTTTGGGTTTCTGGTTTCCTGAAGGCTTTGAATTGGGATGATTTTGGGAAAACAGCTTTCTTGATCTGTTTGTACCATTTATTTTCTATCCCTACAATCACACTGAGTGTGTGTGTTGGGGAATCCAGATATAAATTAGAATTAAGGATGTATCAAGTTTCTGATTGTTTGTGGGGTGGAAGTTCACAAGGCTGTGCCCCAAACAGGCTCTCTGCCTCTTAGTACAATGTCACCTCGTGTCACCAAATAATGGGGCAGGGAGAGTACTTGGCAATGCCATGGAGTGCCATGGAGGAGGATGCCTAGGCATGTATGTGACCCAGGTGTGTAACACAACCCTTATATGCCCACTGTGAACTGGGATTAGAACCTGAGGATTTTTTCTCCTCTTGGTGTGTGTTTAGATTTATCACTACTGAGAGTTGCTGCACACATTTGTGATGAGCAGCCATGGTGGACATTGATGGGGTGAGGTTCTTCTATACCACAAGAAAGCTGTCTACATGTCCTGTGCCACTCACTCTGGGTTGATTGTTTTAGGATCCCTCTTGAGAACTGATGGGTCCTAAATACTTGTCATATCCACTCACAGTGTCCTCACATCAGGACCCAGTTGACAAATCAGCAGCACTTGTACAAAATCTTCTTAGAAGTTTCTGTTTCTTGTATTCTAATAAATACAAATTCTGTCCTGAGATCATCTTGTCTGAGTCCCGAGTTCAGTTCCCGCCTTCTGTATGTGCTGAGTTTGTGGCCGCCCAGTCCTGGAGAGGGGGTGGTCTCACCATCCCCTGCCTGATGGCCTTCCATAGAATTGTGACATTGGGCAACCCCAAATCCTCTGATACGCTACACACCTTCCTGGGTGATAAGGGAGGTGGGAGTGACAATGTTTGCTTACCATTGATGATTAAGCTGTGGGACAGCTGTCTTTTTTCCTCCTGGTAATGGTGGTGGTGGCAAGGCTGGGTAGTTGGTCTAAGTGCCATATGGGCTGGTATGTAAGGAAATTAATCTCAAAAGGATTCGTGTTTTGATATTTGTTTTGATATTTGCAGGCTCCTGATAGTTCCACCCCACCTGCTGCTCTCCGCTGTGACAAGCCTTCAAGGTGAGTGTTCCTCTGGGAAAAAAGGTCATTCCTACGCCCCTGGCCACAATTTGGGGGTGGTTACCAGAGAGGAGACTAGGACATTCTATTATTACTTATTCTGTAATCATGTTTTTTGGAGGCATGTGAGGGATTAGACCCACAGCCTGGTTCATGCTAGGCAAGTGCTCTACCACGGAGCACCCAGCCCGCCCCCTAACTACTGTTTTTAAGAATGAATCATCAAAGGTAAAACATCTCATTTGTCACCATTTCTGATTTTATATTGTGGAAACATCTTGTCTTTTGGTAGAAAGTGATATTGACATCTGGTTGTATGACGTCAGTAGTGAGGAATGGGTAGGCACACCTCAGGGAACAGCCACTTGCTGTCAGGGGCCAGGAGAGGTGGCCTTCAGCCCAGTCAGCTGCAGAACCTTTGGAAAGCACCTCTTTATGGTCTGAGATAGCTGTAAGAGGTCACATTACTATCATTATTATTACTGTTACTACTGTTAATGTTCTTAGTGTTTAATTTGGGTCATTTAAAAAAATAATTGAAACTTTTATGACCATGTTTGATGAATAAAATGGAAGAGAAAAAAAAATCTTTGAAAGTGCTTAAACAAGTCAACTGTGAAAAACAAATTATGGTATTGAATACTTGGTGTTGTTTCTACTTTAGGAATGATAATGGCATTATAGATGATTTGATAAAATCTTACAGAAATCTATACTATAAAGGTTTTCTTGGTTGTCTGCCTGCCATCCATCCATCCATCCATCCATCCATCCATCCATCCATCCATCCATCCATCCATCCATCTATCTGAGACAAGGTCTCACCTGGTAGCCCTAGCTGGCCTGAAAGTCAGTCCTATATAAACTGGGCTAGTTAAGAACTCACAAAGTATCACTTGAAATTATTTTATTATAACCATCAATAGCTGATTAAAAAGAACCAAATATTTCCAGTAAAAAAAAAAAAAAAAAAAAAAAAAAAGAACTCACAAAGATCTGCTTGCCTTTGCTTCCAAAGTGCTGGGATTAAAGATGCATGCCATCGTGCCTGGCACTATTGGTATTTATTTGTTTGCTTGTTTGCTTTTTCGAGACAAGGTTTCTCTGTGTAGCTTTGGAGCCTGTCCTGGATCTCGCTCTGAAGACCAGGGTGGCCTCAAACTCACAGAGATCCACCTACCTGCCTCTGCCTCCCAAGTGCTGGGATTAAAGGCCTGTGCCACCACTGCTCGGCCACTATTGGGTTTTTTAAAGACGACTTGCTTCAGAGTAGTTGCAAGAGTAGAGGACTGTAGAGCAGAAGCTGGCGAGTGTTGGGTGGAGATTACAGGGTGCTGGTGATTGTGAAGGGGTGAATAGGGACAAAACTGACTGAGGGCAGGTGATTCGAAGGATGGATGGATGCATGAGGTGTGCTGAACCATTTTTATGATTTTGATTTTTTTTCCTCCCTCAAAGCCAAGAGAAATACATACAGTAAAAGTAAGAAAAATAAACCCAGGCAAGCAGCCTGGGAGTGGCGGCAGCATACTCTGCTCTGATTTCACTTAGTGTTTCCTCTTGGGGTTGGCCCTCTGACCTGTCTCTTGGATCGCTTTTGCATCCTGGTCTTGAGAGTGGGTCCCTGCATCCTGTTCGCATGGGGCTTTCTCCAAAGCGCCTGTAGGGGGAAGGCCTCCTTCATGGCAGAAGAGTCGCTCTCATCATGTCCTAGCTTACCCACTTTCTAACGTGGGGTCTAGCTTCATCTCTTGGCTTCTGGCACAGTCCCTCCCCCTCCCCACAATTTGTCCAGTCTCTTTCACTAGCCTCTTCCCCGGGAGTAGCATGTAGACAGGGTGGCTGCTGGCTTCTGTAGTCGTCTGTGGTGTCTGCTTCCACCATCCTTTTTTTGTCTGAGGTGTGCTTCCTCCGGCTGCCTCATGCTGACCCTGAAACCTTGGTGTCAGGGTTGTGCGCCTTCTCCAAGAGCAAATCTGGGCACACGGCAGAGCCTGGTGTGCCTCCCGGTGTACCCACACGCTTTCTGCCCGTGCCCCTGCACTCTTCTCCAAGCTTCTCCTCTGCATATTCCCAGTAGTTAGGGCCTTGCATCGGCTCAGTCTTGACCTGCCATAGATCTGTGTACCCTAGTGCGTGGGGGACAGTGCAGATGGACTGTAATGAGACTCTCGGGAAGCTGCTGCTCCCATCTCTGTCCTGAAAATCCTAGGCGGAGTGTTCATCCCTTTTCCTGTTACCCTTTTACTGACTGCCTCCTCCTCTCTTGCAGGCCCCTGGTCCTGAGTCCAGCCATGGAGGACAGCCATGAACTGGACCTTACATATGTCACGGAGAGGATCATCGCAGTGTCCTTCCCTGCCAGTTGCTCAGAGGAGTCCTATTTGCACAGCCTTCAGGAAGTCACACGCATGCTCAAGTCTAAGCATGGAGACAACTACCTGGTGAGTGGGCAGGACAGCCACAGCGTGGCAGAGGGGCTCGAGGCAGGGGTCCTGGGGAGGGAGCATGTGAGGGCCAGGTATGTGTATGTGCCTTGCTAACAAAGGGGGATGGTCTTGGGGTCTGGACCCCAACTCAAGAGTCTAGGAAGTAGGAGTTGGCCATGTGCTCTGCCCATCCACTGTAAGCTTTGCTCTTATTGGTCATGCCATGGGCTGTGACAGTTGACTGTAGGGGTGGCTGCTGCCCCTGTCCAGCACGGATCACGGCTTCTGGCTCCTAGGATAGTAGGCATTCCCAGTCAGCTATCGATGGCTAATGACAGGTGGTATCCCTGGTGTCAGGAAGCAGCCCTGTCCCCTCCTGCTTTCCAGTACATTGGACAGGCAAGAGGGTGGGTGCCCAAGAGACAAGAGCGGTCATGGGGGCAAGTATAGGCAGCCTGATTTCACAACATGTGTGCTATGAGGGGGACCGTATTTGAGGAGAAGTAGAGAGTGGCTTTGCACACGCCTCTCTGATTGGCTCTGTTCTCTTCCAGGGCTACCAGCCCCACAGAGCCTCTTTCTGCTGCTGTAATCACTGCTTAGATTACATCGACAGCTTCTAGCACCTTCTCTCATGCTGCCGCCTTATCTCAGGAGAGCTAATCTTACAAAGCCAACAAGGAGGTTATTGTCACCCTCAGCAGCCTTCTCCCACGGCTAGACTCAGGGCTAGGCTCAGTGGGGACGAGCCGTGGTTTCCAGGATAGTCTCTTCATGAACTGCCTGTGACCTCTTCCAGCACTTGGACTCCCTGAAGTCCGGCCTGGTTGTGGGCAGGAGAGTAGCATCCTAGCCCCCAAGATGGCTGCACCTTTCATGAGTCCCCTCCAGAGCTGCCTCTGCCTTCACAGTGTAACCTCTTCGGGACCAGGGCTCCTCTAGTAGGAAGCTGGGCCCACACCAATCCCTTTCTTCCCACACTTCCCAAGGAGACGGCTTGAGGGCATTCCAAACCCAGAAACCTTTTAGGGAAGGCAGTTACAGTGATGTAGCTGGCCAGGCCCCAGTGTCCTGTGCCCTTCAAGGAAGAGGAGTTGAGTGCAGATGATTCAAGCAGGACGTGAGTGGGGCTGAGACTGAGTGGGCCCAGGAGGTCACTGGGGCTGAATTAAGGAGGAGCCATGTGTCCTGTGTTGGCCTTGATTCCAGAAAGCTGTGGTTTGTTAGTGGCAAGCTTCCAGCTCAGGCTTTTCCATACCTGGCTCCTCTACTGAGAAACCACTACTGCCTGCCCCAAGAGTGCCCCTTGTGCTGGGCAGGACCAGGAAGAGCTACTACAGATCTGTGTGCACAGACATTGTGTTTTAGAATGTTTGCAGATTTTTTTTTTTTTTAAAAAAAAAAGCAAAACAAACAAGAAGGAAGAGTTTACCTTGCTCATCTTAGCTAACAAAAATGCTCATTTTGGTTAACAAAAGGAAAATGTTGGATTTACAGAAGTTCGAGTGCCGTCCAAATCTTGCTTTGTTTCTGTCCTGTGACCACACACACATCTGTGCAATTCAATTTCTTTTTGGTCCTTGACCCTCAGAGGCAACTGTTTAAATGCAGTTGTGTGTTTTCCTTTCTCTCGGGGAACCATGCTTTGTCTACAATTATTTGTTTCCCTTTGTAGGTATTAAACCTTTCAGAGAGGAGATACGACCTTACAAAGCTTAATCCAAAGGTATGGAATTTATTTCTTCAGAGTTTGACTTAGTAATAATGTAAGTGATGCAGGTTTTGTTTGTATAAACGTAGTTCTCACCGGCTTTGTGGAATATAGCTTGGTATCAAGGAATATTAACTACTATTTATATCCTTTGGTTACTTTTAAAATTAAAAATAATAGGTCCACAGGAAGTGAGGTCCTGTATACCTTCCACTTTGGCTCCATCAGTGGCAGCAACTTGTAATACTTATACAGGCCCAGCATCCCTCATCTGACAATCTGAAGTCCTAGCTACTCGATCGCTAAACCTTGGCCTGGAGCAATGGCTCAGTGGTTAAGAGCACTCAGGGCTCTTGCAGGGGATCTGAATTTGATCCTTAGCACCCACTGCAGCAGCTCACTGCTCCTGCAACTCCAGCGCCAGGGTGATCAGATGCCTCTGCCGGATGCAGGCACTGCACTTATGGGTACATATGTCGTCCCCCCCCCCCCCCCCCACACAAAAAATAAAATAACTCTATTTTTTAAAGGCAAAACTTTGTTGCATGTCAACATAACACCATGGAAGGAAAATTCCATACCCTGCACACTACTATTGAAAATATTATATAAGGTTGCCTCAAGGTGCTGTACATATAGTGCATATGAAGCAAATGGATTTGTTTTGTGTTCAGGTATGTGTCTGTCTCTTAAGATACATATAGGGGCAGATATCCCAGAATTTGAAACAGACAAAACCCCAACCATATCTGGCCCAATGTGATTTGGAGAAGGGATACTTATTTATAAAACATCTGTATGTATCATCTGTATGTATCCTCCCTGGAGCCCGCAGCCTTCATTCACAACTCACTAGTTTGCATACGCATGTGCCTGCGTGTAGTTCTCTGCCACTTTAGCATGTGTGTAGATTTGTGTGGCCATCACAACCAAGGTGCGAGAACCTTTCCATTGATGTGAAGATGTCTCTTCTGAGACCTCTCTCTTTTTTAAAAAAAGATTTATTTATTTATTATGTATACAGTGTTCTGTCTGCATGTATGCCTGCAGGCCAGAAGAGGGCACTAGATCTCATTATGGATGATTGTGAGCCACCATGTGGTTGCTGGGAATTGAATGCAGGACCTCTAGAAGAGCAGCCAGTGAGTGCTCTTAACCACTGAGCTATCTCTCCAGCCCCTGAGACCTCTTAATAGTCACAAATATCCGCTTCATCTATGGTTATTCTTAGTAGCAAAACTTAGAGATAAAATCAGGACTGTGTGACTATGTTTGCATATATATTCTGTATGTTGAAATGCTTTGCAACCATTAGAATAGAACAATATAGGCTGAACATCCCATAACCTGGAATAAAAATACTCAGAAATTCAAAACTTTTGGAGTACTGTCATGTTCAAAAAGTTCAGGTTTTGTTGTATTTACCATTTTGGTTTTCCAGACTATCGATGCCCAGCTGGTAAAGTCTATCAAATACTCAGAATCTGAAAAAAACTCTAAGCTAATTCTGGCCCCAGACCTACTAGTAAAGAGTACAGTATGGAATTTTTATGTGTCTCAGTTTTGCTGGGTGCACAGGAAAGGGGTCCAGAGCTTCATGGAACTACCATGCTGGCTGCCTTTGCTGTGGTCCAACCTATTGAACTCCTTTCTATTACTTTCATCCACGAAAGGGCTCTACTCATCCCATCCCCTAAAAATAGAAAATGGGAAGAGAAGCAACATCTCCATATGGCCTTCCCACGTGCGTGGCCAGAGGCAGGGCTTCTTGCTTGGGGCTTTGGCCCTTCTCAGTAATTTTCTATGTTCATGTGCCAAAATAGAAGCAAAACTTGAAGGAGCCTCCTCACTTCTGGAGGACTCTGTGTTCCTGAAGTGTGGCCTGCATGGCATGGGAAACATTGGGTTCATAGAGGACCCTGTGTCTCCAAAGTGTGGTCTGCATGGCACGGGAAACATTGGGTTCACAGAGGACCCAGTGTCCCTGAAGTGTGGTCTGCATGGCACAGGAAACATTGGGTTCACAGAGGACCCTGTGTCTCCGAAGTGTGGTCTGCATGGCATGGGAAACATGGGGTTCACTATATTTGCCAGACTCCTTTTTAGCTTGAGAGGACAATATTTGACAGAAGTGTGAGCCACAGGCTGCTGTTTTAGATCTTGGAGGTTCTTGGATCCCTCTACAGTCAACTTTGAACAATTAATGCCTCTGAAAGTCCTCTGTAGAACTGTCACCCAGCTACAAAGGAGCAGACCAGTGCCTAGGTGACGGGTGGTCTGTGGGCGATGTGGTGGCCATTATTTTCTTTCCTGTAAAGGAACCTGGCCAGATGCTCATCAGCTTTCAGAAGAGGCCTACACAACATCCCCCCTGACCCCCAAGTAGATTATGTCACTATGAGATTACCATAGAAAGGTCTAAGAAGTAGAAACTGAGGCAGCTTTCTCCTCTCTCTCTCTTGCAGATCATGGATGTGGGCTGGCCTGAGCTGCATGCACCACCTCTTGACAGGATGTGTACCATATGTAAAGCCCAGGAGTCCTGGCTGAACAGTGACCCCCAGCATGTGGTCGTCATCCACTGCAGGGTGAGTGTTCCTGCTCCCACATACTCTGGAGGTCCAGCTGGACTTCTAGCATTTAAGGAGCCACATGGGTTAAGATCGGTGCTGGTCACAGGCACCAGCTGATTTTCTTGGAAACTACTGTGGTTCCAAGGTGATGGTCATCTGGTGTGACATGCTCCATGTAGGTATGCATTTTAGATTTCCTTTTCATCATAAAATAAAATAAAAAGAATCCCCAGGCCCACAGTTTGGCTTAGAATAAATTCATAGGTCTGAGGTTTCTGGTATCACTAGACTTTTTAAAACCCCCTTCTAGCCATTCCATTCTACTTGTTCACTCTGAATATTAATAAAATTGAAATGGATTGTAATATGACTGGAAACATATGGGTCACCGAAGATGAAAACATCATCTAGCTATTCCACTTCTCCTTCCTTAAGCGAGTCTGGCCTCTCTTTGTGTGGGTGTCCAGTCTGTGGACTTGTGATGATTCCTTTTCGTTACCCGCTATAGGGCACGCATTGCTTTAAACCACTTTCAAAATACCCAGAAAATGTGCCACGAGACATAAGCTTTTAATTTGAAATTGTGATTGCTGATGCCATCCAGAGTTCACCATCATCGTGGCTGCAGGGCTGAAATCCGCTGGCTTCGCACAATGAGTGTTTCCTTTCACACATGCCCGGAGTGACTAATAGACAGACATGTCTCAGCTAGGGCAGGGGCAGAGTAGAGCTGAGCTGTGGTAGCCATTCTCCTGTTTGTTCTGTGTTCAACATATGCGCAAGCCAACTTGAAAGAGGCCATGCTGCTGGAGGGAGGGAGTGTTTTTCTTCCACATTTTACCCCTTGTTTGAAAGTCTGTGCTGAGGAAGATTCCCAGGAGATGTTGGTTGGGGTGCGCCTAGGATTTTTGTTAAGATTGAAATAGAGCTGGAAATCCAAAAGGCTGCTGCCTATACTATGGCCACGAGTACATCCCACCTACCATGCATTTTCCTACAGTCTGGGAGCTAAGAGCTGGTCTGAAGGTGAAAATTCTTACAGTGTTTACACCTGGAGTCTGACAGGAATGAAGACACACTTACTTCCCTCCCTCAGCTGCTCACACTCACTGCACGATGGAGAGCTCGCACCTACACCGTGCCCACGAAGCCTAGATATACATCCAAGTATCACATCGGGATGCTTGGCTGGCCTTTTACCATGAGTTTGGCCGTGTCCCTCATCTTCAGTTTTTGGGGAGAGTTTTAGCCTTGTCATTTCTTTACATGTTTGGTGCAGTCTCCCTGAAGCTGGGCTTTCTCATGGGAGAGTTGGTACTCACTGGATCCCCTTACCGTGCTCAGATGTTCTGTTCGGGCAGGTTGTGTGCTTTGGGGGACTTGACCCATTTCACCTGGATGGCCCTGCCCTTGTGCATGGCAGCCTTTCCGAGTCTCTGCCCGCTGCGCTGTTGACGCTGCTGTTTTGTTTCTGTCCTCAGTTTTTGAATCTCTCTCCTTTTAATCTTAGCCAAAGGTTGGCTTATTTTATTTTACCTTCAAAACAAAGCAGTCAGTTTGTTGATCTTTCCTGTTTTCTGGATCTCTGTTTTATTCTGCTCTACTTTTTTTCTGTTTTCTTTCTTATATTAGCTTTGAGTAGTTTGGCCTTTGTCTAGTTATTTGAAGTCTACATTTGAGGTTCTTCAATATGAGATCTTTCCTCTCTTTTTAGATGTGGACAGTTATTGCTATAAACTCCCCTCTTAATACTGCTTTTGTTATATCCAATAAATTTTAGTGTGTCTTTCCCATTTTATTTGTCTCAATATGTTTATTTATTTTATGTGTTATGGATATTTTGCCCAAATGTATATCTGTGCACCACATGTGTGCCTGGTGCCAGGGGAGACCAGAGAAGGGTATCTGATCCCCTGGAACTGATTTTATAGATGATTATAAGCCAACATGTAGCTGCTGGGCATTGAACCCTGGTCCTCTGGAAGAGTAGCCAGTGCTCAGTCACTGAGCCATGTCTCTAGCCCATGTCTCAATATATTTTTAAACATTCCTTTTAACTTCTTGTTTGACTGAGTTGCTGTTCTGTAACATGTTGTTTAACTTCCACGTATTTGAGAATTTTGTAAGGCCACCTACGCCTCCCTCCCTGCCATTCTGGTTTATACTTTCATACCACGGTGGTCAGAGAGGATATTTGATAAGATTTCAGGCCTGACTCTCTTGGGACTTGCTTTGTAGCTTCATGCGTGAACTATCCTTGGGACTGTTCCTTGTGACCTTGAAGCACGTTCTCCTGCTGCTGGTGGTGGTGGGATGTTCTGTCCATGTGTGTAATAGGTTCATGTGATCCGAAAGGTACTTTGGGTCTGAATTCCTTAGTTATTTCTTGCCTAGATGATCTGTCTGCTAGTGAAGTGAGCTGTCAAGGTCCTCACTATTGCTGGAATGCTTCCCCCCACCCCCCACCTCACCTCTCCTCTGCACCCGTGACTAGTGCCACCAAATGATGGGTAGTACCCGCAGTAAAGGCCATCATGTGTGGGTCTGGTTTTGACTGAGCTGGTGTTTCCTTCTAAGTGATTTCTGTTGTTGAAACAAATGCCATTTAATGCAAGAAGTACATTCGTAGAGCATTAGTAGCTTTACAGTTAACAATGCCAAGAACCAGGATCTCACTGCCAAGAATTTGCCAAGTATCTGCATTGGTATCTCCCAGCATGCCCAGCTTCATATGATAGTTGATTTATAACAACTTTGTTCATTTACTTGTTTTTTAAGAATAGAGCTGGTGGCTGGGGATGTAGCTCAGCTGTAAAGTGCCACCTTGTGTGTATAAGGTCTGATCTCTAGAACTGACTTAAAAAAAAAAAAAGAAGAAGAAAAGAAAAGAGTTAGGAGCTACAAATTAATGACCTGCCAGTTGGGTTTTATGTGATTTGAGATCAGGGTTTGGCAAATGTTTCTCAAGAGATAGGTAGTGTTTTAGGCTCTGCATGCCATGTGGTCCTGCCTAGTTCTTCAAGCCTGCTCCTGTAGGGTGGGTGGGGGCTGCTGACACAGAATAGCCAGGTTCCAGGCAGACAATGAGGGTATTCAAGTTTCATGTGATTTTTCACATGTCTCACAAACGGTTTTGATTTTTCTTTTCTTACCTTTGCAATGCTTGGAAATATGTGATCATAAAATTTAGCTCATAGATTGTAGGAAAAGAGTTGGTGGACAAAACAGAACTGGTTTTGGGGTTGCCATTTGCAGACCCCTGTCAAAATAGTGTGTCCTGAAGCTTCAGCTCAGCCTGTGGCTCTGAGTGGGGGTGCTTTGCCGTGGAGCTTCTTCCTCTGCTGCTGGTGACGTTGCCTGTGAATGTGGTTATGTCTAGAAGGATTTCCATAGCACCTGCCTGGGATGTGGATTCCCTGTGTATAAGGGGTCCCCCCTGTTGTGTAAAGTACGGTGTTGGGCGCTGGTGTGGGATGCTACCAGCTCACCGTATTCAGAAGCCACTTAGAGCTATATACACATACACAGCCCTGTCACTGTCAGCCCCTGGGCAGGCGTTCATTCCTGTTTCACCTGGGTAATTAAGTCATGCTAATTGCTGCAGTTCCTGGCACCGGTTCACCTAACCTAATTGGGAGGTGGTGAATGACTGGCTGCCGCCATGTGGATATGCCCTCTGGGGACGTCTACAGACACCCAGCGAGCACCTGCTCTTGTGAAGGGCCCCTGTGTGAAGATTCCCCGCTGAGGAGGCCCTGCTGTGTTCGGTGCCAGGCGCTCCAGTATTAGGGGAGGCTTGTTCCGTCATTCTGCTCGTGATTGAGCCCTCTCCCATCACATGATGTCTCTGTGTGGGATTCTATAGAAAGAGCATTGATTCCTCTGTGGTCTCCTTGCAGGGTGGTAAAGGACGCATCGGACTGGTCATATCGTCCTACATGCACTTCACCAATGTCTCAGCCAGGTAGGATGGAGGCGGGGGCTCCTTTCAACGGGGGGTTGGAAGTTGGGTTTGCATATGTAGGCAGTGGTCTTCTTGGGAACCAGCCTCATCTTACCTCTGTCTCTTAGTCCCAGAGTGTTCTGTGCCTGAACTCAGCTTCTGGCAAGGCTGAAAAAGACATGTTCCTATTTGGCATGTTCTGTGTGATGGATGCCATTGCGGGCACTATGAAGGTGATAAAACTGAGCCCAGTCATTCTCTAATGAAAAATGGCAGGCTGATGTCACCATGGATCACTTCACACCCTGTACATCGTGATATTGACAAGTATAATTTTTTTAAACATATTTTGGGAAGTCCACTGTGTGTCTTCCTCTAAGATAATAGGACCTTGGTCTTAGTGCAGCTATTGAGGCACTGGACAGTCAGGGTGTTTCCTGTCTTCTGAGGCACAGGCCTCCATTAAGGCTAAAACTTCAGTTTAGAAAAGTTCATGGTTGGGTAGGAGTGTGGCTTAATGTAATTCACTTACCTAGCAGATGCAAAAGGAACCTCAGATTCCTCCCCAGCACTGCACACGGAAAGGAAATACCATTCTTGGTGGCTTGTGCATTTATTTGCCCACTCCTGGCCGTCTCAATAGCTGTGTTGTGTGCTCAGGCCATTCCATCCTGAGGAAATAGATGCCTTCTCATCATCCCACTTCTGAACCTTCTCCTCTGCAGTGTGAAGGAGCAAAATTGGACTTTTGGAATGTTTTCTCTGGAAACACATTGAGAGGCTGGCGCTTGCCAAGGAGGAAACCCTACCCCAGGGTGAAAAGCAGAACCCTGTGGGTTTGAATAAGCATCATGTGTGTGCCAGACACATCCAGATTCCCGGTCACATTGGCCCCTCAGTTATGTGAAAGGAATTTGGTCAGAGACCACACTTTGCCCACTTGTTTCTTAATACAGACCACCCGAGTGAGTACTGTTTAGAGAAGTTTCCCCAACTGTAGAGACCGCTGCATCTGGGGAACCAGCCTTGCTTCCCTAAAGCAAACCCTCAGAGCTGTACAACTCTGCTCTCTCTCCCTGTGTCATTGGTACATCACATGCAAATGTCAGGAAGCATGCATGGGTCTCTCTGGGCCTTGGCATCCTGTCCTTATCTGAACCACAGGAACTCTAGTTGAATCTCCTTGTGCTGTGGCCGTTCTGCATGTCTCTACCTGTAGAGTGCTTTGCATAGCATCACACTGGGGTCCAAGCAGCCACCGATGCTGCCGGTCAGCAGGGGTCACGGTATTGAGTGTTTTCCAGTTAAGCGGGTGGCCATCACTGTGCTTTTTATCTCTTGCTCTTCTAAGTTAATCCTACCTCCTGAGCATCTGCCCTGATAACAGCTCTAGCGGCGGTGAGTCTCTGCCATCCTGGGTTGTGGTTATTACACATTTACTGTGTTTTCCTACCCAGGTTGCTTTCCCTTTTCTTTAGAACCCAGGTTGTTCCCTGAGCTGCTGTTCTTACACATGCGCCTGATCCCCCTCACCCCTTAGGTTATATGTTAGACGCCCCTGGGGACACACCTGATTTAAGTTTTTTACAAGCCACAAGTAACACACAACAGAGACTGCAAGTCACACACGGAGAGCATTCTTGCTCCCAGCACCCTGAAGAGTTTAGAAGATGAAGGAAGTTAAAACTAAGCATTCTGGGACTTCTAAACACCAACACTAGCTAGGGTGTTTTCTCGAAGTTTAATCGAATGAATGGATTCCAGAAAAGAGAATGCTTAAAAGTCAAAAGACGGGATATGAAACTATGTCTTTCAGCTTGAAAGATACATCCATTTGCTATTTGACGTGCTCTGGGCTCAGATGGACCCTTCCATCTGTGACAGCCTCACTGGCCAAGCTCTGTGTTGTGTTGAAACAAATACACGCAGTGAGTTAAGCATTCACTCACACTGAACTTGACTTAGAGTATTTTCCTTCGTCCTCCTTATCTCTGCATGTGTTTTGAGAATGTCACGTTCAGTATTCCTTAATGTGTCATTTTTCTGGAGGGTACATACACATTTTCCATGGAAAACTCATATGCCTACCTGATGTTTTGTTTTTTTGAGACAAGGTCTTAACTTTGCAGCCCTGGCTGACCTGGAACTTACTATGTGGACCAGGCTGGGCTTGAACTCATAGATGTCTGCCTGCCTCTGCCTCCTGAGTGCTAGGATTAAAGGCATGTGCCACCATGCCTGGCTGCCTATCTGATTTTTAAGGATGCCTGTGATTTAAATAAGTCTTATTTCATGGCTTAAGTCGGGTCAATAACCCTAGAATGCCCCACAGTGAAGTTTCCAGAAGGTTCTGTAAATTCTAATGTGAACATTGAGGGTGGGGTTGAAGGTCCGTTAGGCTGTTGCAAAGTAGATTCACTTTCTGTGGAGTTACTTTAGAAATACCCAATGAAGCTGACGCCCCCACACACCTTCTCAGCCATCAATCTTGCCCTGTCCTCAGCCTCCAAGTCCTTTTGTGAAGCTCCTTACCAAGTCTTATGTATTATTCTTCTAAGACTTCACAGCGTAGACACTACACTACGTGTACACGCTAAGCTTCTTCCTCGCATCCCCAGGGTCCTGAGGCTGCGGCCTTCAGCCAGTTCCTCTCCTGTGAGCCAGTGGAACATCAAAGTATCACACCCTTAGTTAAGGAAGTTCTGAGAGCAGTTTGGTATGGCTCCTGCTTTGAGCTGAGTGCACTCCTGCACAAAAATCTTGGGCTGGGCGGTGTGTGGGCCGGTGTCACTGATAGACATGGGATGTGCATTCTGGCCATTTGTCCTTGAGGGGCTTCGATACCACTGACCTAACATATTTATTCATTCTCCCCACCCCCACCTCTGCTTCCCCAGTGCTGACCAGGCCCTGGACAGGTTTGCAATGAAGAAGTTTTATGATGACAAGGTCTCAGCTTTAATGGAGCCCTCCCAGAAGAGGTATGTATATGTATCTGTCTGTGGGCCAGAGGTCCTCTGACCTCTTCTCTGCATTGCCTTTGGGTCCTGCCTGAGAATGTGAGGGAGGGGTTTGATGCTTCCCAGGGCAAGGATGTGAGTCATCCTATATGTCTAGTGAAAACTGTGTCTGTTGAAGTCTGTGGGCCACTCCAGAGAGGAAGACTCAGGGCCACCTCTCATTTCAGCTCTGAGGACCATCATCTCCTTCAAAGCATGAGCTTTAATTTCCATGATCATGTTGACCTCACTTTTGTCTGCTAGAACAGGGGTCAGTAAACTTGATGGAGGAGCTGATAGGTAGATGTTTACGGTTGTGTGGTTTTGCACTCACCAGTGTTCCAACACAAACCAGCCGTATCCAGTATGGAAACGAGTAACTGTGATTATGTTGTAATAAAACTTTATTGACACAAATGGGGGTTTCAGATCATCACAGGCTGACTTCTACTCTACAGTATCAGCTCCTTGACGCCAGAGAGAATCTCTCTTGATGTTTCCTACCAGCCTGTCCTAGCTGCAACATGTCGTAGCCCATGGAAGTATTGACATGCAGCTGTCAGGGAGCAGGATGCTCTCTTTTAAGGCACTCACATAGCTTCACTGCAGTTCTCTCTTAAACTAAACACCAGAATTTGTCCAAAAATTGCAGAAGCAGCTGCAAAATGGCTCCCATTTTGGAGTCAGGATTTAGCTGTAGCCTTAAGCCTTTGTATGTGCGTTTTGATCCTTCCCATCTGCTTTCTCTAGTGTAACCGCAGACTGGGCCAGCAGACATAGTGACTCTAGTGGTCTGGGTCAGCTCAGACAGTTCTAGGTTTGGAAGAATGTGGGATACCTTGTGGGACCTTGGGTTGGAGCCAGGGCTATGTTCTGTTTTGAGCAACAGGCCCCACAGGGAAGCCGCTTTTGCAAACTTCACCATATCCTGATGGTTCTACTTAAACAGCCCCTGTTTCACCGGGCGGTGATGGCACACGCCTTTAATCCCAACACTCGGGAGGCAGAGCCAGGTGGATCTCTGTGAGTTCGAGGCCAGCCTGGGCTACAAAGCGAGATCCAGGACAGGCTCCAAAACTACACAGAGAAACCCTGTCTTGAAAAAACAAAACAAAAAAACAAAAAACAACAACAAAAACAGCCCCTGTTTCAGTTTTGAAACCAGGAAGTATTTATTTTTCCACTAAGCCATTTCCAGAATGGCCAAATTCCTAAGATTTGCGCCGAGGGTGAGGTGCAAACAAGATGCAGCTCCCACAGATGCCTGGACCCAGCAGGCAAGCGTGGCTGCCGGGATTGTCTACTTAGAGAATCAGTAGCGTCTAACGATGTTGGAGTGTGGAGCAGAAACAGGGAAGACATCTCATTTTTAAAACACTCACAGCTTTCACATGTCCTTCTTGGCTTATATTTTATAGTGAGAGCAAGGTTCAGTGTTGCATTCCAAGCTCCTGCTCTGCTCTGGAGGTTAGGGCTGCCTACTTCTGTCTCTTTTCTTGACACCTTTCCTGGTGCCTTATATTAGAGGACACTAACCAAGTCATTACTGAGTGCTCCAGCAACTGAATGCATGTTTCAGTAAACCTCAGGAAACATCGGAGAGCGGAAGAATGTGTGTGACTGTTCTCATGGGGCTGTGCACCTCACTGGTGTCTGAATGCCTGTGGACAGGGGCTGCTGTTCTGCAGGTTATGTTAGGACCAAAGCCACGAAATTATTCCAAAGTCAAGATCGTAATTGGCTCTCTTTAGGTCGAGGGAGAAACTTAGGATTTGTGGCTGAGAAATTCAACCTTCTAAGCAACCATAGACAAAGAAGGAATTGCCCAGAACCTCCTGGGCAGGAACTGAATCTAGACCCCATCTATAATCTGTAGATACCCAAGGTCTTTGCGTAAGATGGGCTGGTATTTGTGTAGAGCTGATGTGTATCCTTCTCTGTGTTTTCAGGTTTTTTTTTTTTATTAGTGTCTAAAATAATGGATTCTGTTATAACATTTGATAAATGTATATTGTGCCTTATGCTCATATCCATACCCCCATTATCCTATTCTGTTCCTCCTCCTCCCACTGGTCCCCTTTCTTCCCCCAAAAGTGTGTGTGTGTGTGTGTGTGTGTGTGTGTAACACATGCATAAAATCTAGGTTCACATATGAGAGAAGACACAGTATTTGTCTTTCTGACATTAAACTGTAAACCTTCTAGGTTCCATATAACACTGAAGACAGTGTAAACACTGAGTGCCTAGCTGTCGCGCTATATTGGCTGTACTGAATAGGGAGTCATTAGAGGAAAATAACCTGCTTGTCTCCACTAAGATGCAGGCTCTTTTCCTCCAGGATGTTTGAACTGAGTTTGGTTGAATCTATGGATGTAGAACTTGCAGACACTGAGGCTTACTGGTGATTCCCATTGTCTGGGTCCACTGTGAGCTGAGCACCCCCTAGTGGACATCTGGGAAGTGATGTTCATTAACAACAAATTTCCTCAGTGAGGAAAGACTGAGACCTGGGGTGGAGGTGGAGGTCTGCCCTCCCTTCCTGAGTGACCACCTGCACATGGGTGGCTGTCTGTCTCAGCCTCCTCGTGAGCAAGCTTATGCAGATGCAGATTTTTGTTGCTGTCACCTGTTGCTGCACAATGGAAAAAAGCAGCTCTTTTTCTTTTCTTTTTTTGGTTTATGTAGTTATTTGTTTATTTATTTATTTTTAGGCAGGGTCTTGTGTAGCTCAGGATCATATACTTATGATCATCTTGCCTTTATTACCCCAGTGCTGGGATCACAGGCATGTAACCATGCATAGAAAAACAAACAAACAAACAAACAAACCGAACCCAAAAACATTTTTCATGTTGTCTGACACCTGGACAGCAGTCTCAGCCAGCCAGCTGACATCATGGAAGCTACCCATCTGTAATACTGACAGGAGCTGGTGACCTCTGGGCAGGGAGAAGTGTCAGCTCTCTCAACAGTTTGTCCCACAGAGAGTAGGAGTCCCAAATCTTCACGTTTCAAACTACATACACAGCATTCATCATGTGTGATGTGAGCAGGCACCCTGTCCACCCTAGTGCATGGGTTGGGGTGTGCATCAGAGCAGGAAGTGACTATAACCAACACAGAGCCCTCACACCTCCAAGTCTCTGTGTGTCAAGATCCGTCTCATCTGAGGGGTCACTGAAGGGCCACACACGCCAGGCCAGGTCTGGATTGTCATAGAGTCCCCTCACAGGAAAGAGAAGCCAGGAATGCATAGTTCCTAATGTTGGGGATTACCCAGGACTGGGAAGAGGGAAGCACTGTCTTAAACAGGGTCTTAGGTATTCCATCCTGAGCCTGTGTGTAACTCCATTACCTTTGCTTAAGGCCAAAGAGCCAAGGCAACTGGTGAGCTCTGCCATGTATGGGGCGTAAGTAATGGGGTCACAAGATGGTTCTTCATTCTGTACCTGCACACAGCAGTTCAGGAAACTTTACAGTCAGAGTAAGCTCATGGAGCAGTGTGGAGGCCAGATACCCATGGGAGTTTGTGGGGGGACCTCAGGCTTCTCTGACTGGTGAGGTTTTGCCCTCATCCTAACAAGAAGAGCAATCTGCTACTGGACCGATGGGACTCTGACACCCCCCGTCTGTCACTGTGAATTTTCCCTACAGTGAAGGGAATCCTTGTGAGTTATACTAAAGCTTTCCGAAAGGACAGACCATGAGTTGTTTTCTGTTTGGTTTATTTTACCTACAAACTCAGCTGTTGATAAGGGGCTGGGTCTACATTCCAGCGTGCATTCAAAGTGTTTTCTTAGTGTAAGGTGGAGCCCATGACTGTGTTCATCCAGGAGCTTGGAGCTATGAGGACCCGTGTCCCTGTATTCGTGACAGTCATTTCCTGCTTCCTTACATGGTGCATGGCCCATTAGTTTGATGGCATGTTTTGGGATCTTTCCTTGTTTGGATTTTTTTCCCTCTTGCAGTGAGTGCAGTGCTTTGGTGAAGAAAGGCAAGAAAACAGACAGATTCCAACCAAAGAGGGGTTGCGGGTTCTGGTGAAGATTGGTTGACTGTAGTGGAAGTGCAGTCAGTGGCCTTAGGGTATTGGCTGCTTCTGGGCTCCCATGGCAGCAGGCTACGGGTCTGCAGGGCAGAGGGAAGGAAGGTGGAGGCCAGGGGAGCATCTGAGTGTGACAAGGGTGCAGCTCACACTCTGGGCATGGCTGTTATGCCGTGCCTTATGAGTACCCTTTGATCACGTTTAGTGTAGGGCCTTCTCTCTTGGCTGCCGTGTGTGCAGAAGAGTGTGAACAGTCAGCTTGGAGGCCTGAGGCCAGCGCTTGGAATTCACACGGCAAAATCCCTTCTTCAAAGTGTATAGGTGGCCTTGGGTGGCCCCGTGCTCAGTGGAGACAAGAGGGCTCAGGAGATGCATGTGGGGAGAGCAGGGTTTAGGGGCCTTTGAGAGCAGCTGCTCCTCATGGCTTATGTGGGAGCCCTGGGAGGAATGAGCTGCTGGACCTGTGCAATAGGATTCTGTCTCAGGTGCTGGCCTTGCTAGTGAGGGGCTGGGGAACAGGCGAGGAGACCTCCTAGATGTGGGTGTCCACGGGAAAGAGATGCTTATACATAAGTGACAGTGTCAGCCGTTCCCAGGGCTGTGGGTAGTGAACCCTCCGTCCCTAAACATGGGGCAGTAACTACTGTCCGTGCACAGTGGGACAAGGTGTCCCCATGGCCTCCCGACACAGTTCCCATTCCCCACTGCCTGCTCCCGAGCCTCAGCAGCTGGGAGTCAGCTGTGTGGAGTCTTAGCCACTGTCCCCCCGCAGGTATGTGCAGTTTCTCAGCGGGCTGCTGTCTGGGGCGATGAAGATGAACGCTTCACCCTTGTTCCTGCACTTCGTCATCCTGCATGGTGTCCCCAGCTTTGACACTGGAGGAGGTGAGTCTTCCCATCCCAGGCTAGAGCTCTAAATTAGCAGCCGTTTCCTCCTGTGGTATGGAGATTCTGTTCCTGTGCTTCCTGAGGGCTGTACACAGCTCCCGTGTGGGAGCAGAGCTCCAGCTTTGTAAGGTGGGAGCTAGCTGTCCATCACAGGAGGGACAGGCAGTTGTGAAGGGATGACAAGTGGCCCTGTAACCCAGGTACAGTTCCACTCTTTGTTAGGCCAGGGTCTTTCTGTGTCAGCAGCTCTGTGGTTCAGCTGTGTGCTTCTCATGGTTTCTAAAAAGGAGAGAAGCATGGTAGTCCATCTCCTAACTTGGGGTCCTTTCTTTTTCCTCTATGACATATTCCCATGGACCCTGTCTCTTTCATGTAGATGCTTAGAGCATAGAGCCTGCCCCCATCCCATGCAGGTACTCACAGGACCTGTGTCTGGAGGCAGGACCTGTCTCCTGTTCCTGGTGCATCCAAGTCGGTGCTCCCACATCAGTTGACGGTATCCATAGCTTCTGGTCCCCACCCCGGTCATTAGGAGTAAGGTGAAATTACTGATCTGCAGGATGCTTTTGTGCCTCCATGACCCTCTGGTTAAGGTCGTCCTCTGGCTGGAGGTCCAGCCATGTTACTTTGTCGGTGGGACGTCTGTGCACGGGTTAAATGATCCTGTCTGTCCTTGGCATGTGCCTCTCTTTCAGCATGCCGGCCTTTTCTGAAGCTCTACCAAGCCATGCAGCCTGTGTACACGTCTGGGATCTAGTAAGTGCCTAGCTTGTGCTGGGTGTCGAGGGTGGCTTGGGGGAGGGTTGTGAAGTGGGTTGTCTCTCCCACAAGAAGAAGTGGACCCAGCGGGCCAGTAATGCCGAAAGCCCAAAGGAGGGCTCCAAGTTTCTGCTGTGAGAGGTTCTTCCTCCCTGAATCTCTAGTTGGCTCCATTAAGGGGCTGGACAGTGGGACCTCCAGGGGAGAGGAGAGACGGAAGAGGGGAACCATTACTGTTTGGAAGTGGATAGACTGAAAAAGTGCTAGAACAAATCCCTTGGGGTTTTTGTTTCTCTTTTGTGTTTTAGCTATGTATCCCCAGAACCTGTATGGATGGCTTCCTTAGTTTGGTTTGCAATGTGTGTAGGTAGTACTTGGTTTACGTTAAGACAAAATGACGAAGGCAGTAAATGTGTGGCACTCAGAAAGACCCATTATTCCCTTTCTGGGCTCAAACTGCCCCCCCCCCCCGCACCCCCACGCCATGACACTGGGGAAGTTGTGTCCTCAGGTTGTCACAGAAGCAGGGTCTGTCCCCAGCTCGGCCCTCCTCCCAGCTGAGGCCTCCCTGAGCATGACTTTTCCAGTCTGGGGCTATGATGATGCTAGACTAACTCCCCCCAACTCAGGGCTCTCTGGAACCTCTTGACTCATTTCCGTAAGGTAAAGCCTCCAAACTTGGGATCTGGGCTGCTTGTGCAGATTCTAGCCATTTTCTCAGCTTGTACTACCGTGGTCATGAAATCGCAGGACTGTAATGATCTGTTTTCTTCATCCGAAGCAACATTGGCCCTGAAAATCCCAGCAGGATCCGCATTGCCATAGAGCCAGCCCAGCTGCTGAAGGGCGACATCATGGTGAGTACCCATGTGCTGCAGCCATTGTCCTCAGCTACCCAGGATAGTGACCCTGAAGGAAAATGGATTTTTGCCTTAGGGAAAAAAAAAATATCACCTAGTTTATGACCTCCTTCTTAAAGAAAAGAAAGTAATAACCAATGGGAGAAGAGAAACAGCCATCACTCTCAGGGCTTTAATTTGTGAGTAAAAATGTTTTAGTAACAGTGACAGATCTTTGTCCTTGACCATCTTTTATAACAGAGCTGCTGGGCTGTGCAGTGATCCCACTCAGTGATCCCACAGCCCTTTTAAGCATCCCACTCCCTGACCTGTGTGATCCCAGGCCTCCCAGAGTATAACATCAAGAGCCAGAGTGCACCGTATAACTTGTATTGTTACAGCGTGACTAATGATCAAAACAGTGATTTCTCCAGATAATTTTGTTCTTGGAGGAGATTAAACATTACTTTTTCACCTCCTGTCTGTCTTGAATACAGAAGAACCTCTACGTGTCAAGTAATTTCAGGAAAGGTTTTGTCTGAAAGCCTGCAAGGCATGTGTACAGCTTCTAACATGTGTAGAATCATTTAGATATGATCTTTTCTTGGTCTTGGCAGACCTACTTTGTTGAGATGGATGGTGGGTGATTTAGGAGTTTGTGTTGCATTTTATTATGAACAGCTCACCTGGAGTGGGCACCTCCCTGTTTACAAGGACAGATATGCTGACACTCTTAAGGAATAGTGGAAAAACTGAGGTGTGGTGGATGACTGGAGGCTGGGGGTGCAGCTCCTCCCTCCCTGGAAAAGCAATGCTAAACCTCCCTCAGCTTTGTGTTGGTGAGCTGGGAGCTTCCTCTGCGACCAGAGAGTGATGGTGCAGAAGCTGGGTCCTGGGAGGTGCTTCCTTGCCCCTCCAGCTGCCTTCCTCCTTCTTGCCACCTCCTTTGTCTTCTCTCCCACCCTCCCTCCTCCCCTCCCTCTTTTTTCTCTTCTCTTCTTTATCTCCCTTTTGCCCTCTCTTCTTGTCATCAAATTTTTACTCAGTTATCTTTTTTCCCCTTGCATTTGGTTTTTGTTTTTTTTTGTTGTTGTTCTTTTGTTTTTTTTTGTTTTTGTTTTTGTTTTGGTTGGTTAGTTGGTTGGTTGGTTTCCAGTCTTAGCACTGGACACAGAAAGGACAGAAGTACCGAGTGATTTTTTTTTTTTTTTTTTGTCCTGGAGGTACCTCCGGGCAACATAGGCTGCATTGTAGAAGAGAATCTGGAGATGCTGCATAGGCCAAGGGAGCCAATGACATACTTGTGACAGTCATTGAGGTGCTAGGCTGGAAGAGGATGGCTCCAGAAGGTCATGGCAACTTGTCCCCATGCTTCCCGGTAGTGCCATCCTTTACACGTCTGCCTTTGGGAGGAAGCTCATCATGCTTGAAAGCGATATACCTGACCCCTTTCTTTGGGGGGCTCTGGCCTCTGCCTAGTGAGGACCATGCTTAAGTTTTGTGAACATGAAAGGAACAATCATCCAGGACAGTGCCTGACAGGTGGGCATGGGGGAGACAGGATGGGAGACAGACAACATCATGTCATCCTGATGCATTTCAAGCCTTTGTCACTATCAGAGCGGTGGTCACTCGACCTTAATTGGCCGTCCCCTCCTCCCTCTAGAGGAGCCCTGCCTGCTTAAGCACCGTGCCCTACGCTGTGTGCCCCCTAGTGGGCAACACAGCCAGAACACAGGCCCCAGTAAACATTGTATGCACTGTGGCCAGTGGAAAGTGGCTCTGGGCAAGAGATGTGGGGTGCTTTAGAGGGTCTGTGGGTGGGGGGTAACACTTGGTCACTGAGGTGATTCAGAGAAAAACTGGGTGGCACAGAGAAGGAATGGAGCTCGGTATGGGTGAGGGAGATGTTTACTGGTGGGCATGCCTGGACTTGGCCTGTTCCTGGCCCTGTGTGTCCCTGTGGAGCTGGCTGCTGCTCCAGCTCAAGAAAGTGCTCCTGAGGACTGCTGCCATTTACCAACTGGCTAGGTAAATAATGATGTGGATGGACATCTAGGGGCCACCTGGAGGCAGTTCTTACCACATGTTCATGACATGCTGTTGAGTTATGTTTATAAGCAGACTATTTCAGGCCATTCACCTCAGGGGCTTTGTTCTGGTCCTTTGCAGGAAGTTTGAATTGGTGGTATTAAACCTTCATAAAAGTTTAATTTCCAACTTGAACTGGCAAGTCCAGTTGATGGCAGTTGGAGATCCTCTTAGGTATTATTTGGGGTGGGATGGTGGTCAGGCCTGTGGCAAGGGAGGCATTGAGTCAGGGTGGGGATCAGTGCCACGATACCATGTAGGACATTTCCACACTGTGTGGCCCCCCTCTATAACGCATAGGACTTGTGAGGTTCTGCATACAAGTCACTGAAATGGAGAGATTAAGGCAGGCACAGCAGCAGCCCCGGTGAGCACAAGGTACCTTGGAGAGCAGTGCTGGCTGGCCTCAGAACTAGAAGCAACCTAATATGAGGTGTTAATAGAAGCAGAAGGTGGGTGCAGTGGGTGTTTGGGTGCCCTCAGGAGCCAGGGGGCCTACCCTGGATGTTCCCCTGACCATAAAGCACTGCCAGGCATGGAGGCCAGGAGCCAGCCTCTGCCGACCCTTGGGAGAGCCGTGGTGAGAGAGCTGCTGGGACTGAGAGACCAGGGCATGGCAGGTAGGGAGGGCTTTTTGAAGTATATTGCAGTTGAGTTTAAGTATGAGGCTTGTGCTGAGTTTGTATCCAGACCGGAAGGTCTGTTCTGATTGGCAGTGTTGTGAGCATAGGCCCCACCTCTTTCTTCTTGCTGGTTCCCTGGCTAGCCTCACTTGTTCAGACGACTGCCATAGAATACTGTGGCGCTGGGGTGCTTACATGGGTGGGTGTTTACATGGATTCTCACAGATGCTTACACAGTGCTCACGGGTTCTTACACAGGAGCTTACAGGCAACAGAACCTTCTTTCTCATGGTTCTGCAGGGTGGAGGTCCAATGTCCAGGGCCGGCAGGTTCTATATCTAGTGGGGATCTGGTTTCTTGTTTATGTACTCGCTACAGGAAAGGGTCTGGAGTCTCAGAGGGAGTTAGTGGCATTCACAGGGCCTTGGCCTCCTGACCACATCCTGTCTCAGAGCTCCCACATTCTCATACTGCCCCATGAGGTTTAGGGGATACAAAGTTAGCCCACAGCACAGGTTGGCATCTCCCGGCTTGCCCTGGCTGCTGCCTGCCAGGCGTCCAGCCTCTTGGGAGCTTCTCTGTGCTTTCTTGCTAGGATCCTCTGCTCGTCTCTGACTAGGCCCTGGACCTCCTGGTCTTCTTTCTGTCTAATCCAGGCTTAGAGAAGGGTGATTTATGCACAGACCATTCAGTGGTGGCATCCACTCCACCCATGATAGCTATGGAGCCGTGTCTACGTGCTTGCCTTGTGGGCCTGATACGGCCCTTTGGAGCAGAGCCTTCTCCAGACTAGCTCTAGCCTTTGAACTAGTAGTCCCGCTTTCTCCCTCCTGCCCCAGGCTGGTTCTCTCCTTGCCCTTATTAGTGCTGCTCCAGGCAAGCTGCAGGTAACTCTCTGTAAGAAGTGGGGATGGCTAATCCATGGGTGTAGGGCATGGCGTGACAGCGGGACGGTGTCCTAGGTGTGCCCTGGTGGAGAAGAAGCCAGCCATGCTGGAGAATGGGGCGGGGGGATGTCTGGAAGTGAACTTCATGCTACAGGACAGCACCTCGTGGATGACTCATTTCCATTAAAGTGCTGGCACACAGGTTCTAGAGCTTTCCACAAGAGATACTTGCTTTTGATAAGACGATTTCCTTCCTGCACCCCTTTTCATTCCTCCCATGGAATATTTTAAGATTGCGTTATGACTTGATCTACGCTTCCTGTGTTTATAATTCTGTGTGTGTGTGTGTGTGTGTGTGTGTGTGTGTGTGTGTGTGTGTGCGCGCGCGTGCGCGCGCGCGCGCTCAGCAGTTTCTGCAATGTTATCAGATAGGGAGAGGGAGACATGGCAGCTGGCGAGAGTATTTTTCCATCACAGAGTGCAATTTTTCCTTGTACAGTTCATAGCAGTGACTGCTAAGAGGTCAACTCACTGTCAGAAATCTAAAAGCACTTTTAGCCCGTGGTGTTCTGCCAAAACTGCCATGATGAAGGGACACTCACCCACCTTGCGACTTACGCAAGGATTTCTTTTCTCTTGGTTTTGGAGGGTGGAAGTCCAAGGTTAGGGTGTTAGCAGGGTTGGTCTTTCCTGATGTGTGTCATAGGTAGGTGGTCTTATCAGTGTCATTTCCACATGACTGTCCTTCCCTGAGTCCTAACCTCTTCTTACAATTGACACCAGTTGCAGTTCATCCAAACCAATCCTGACAGTTTCAGTTAAATGCCCTTCATAAAAATGTCATTCTGAGGTCCTGGGGCTTTTGATTTGTAAATATGAAAGGACATCACTTCACTCACAAGTGAGCATATACCTTAGTGTATAGTATGATTGACAGTGGGCTCCAGTGCTCCAGTGTGTGGTGTGATTGACAGTGGGCTCCAGTGCTCCAGTGTGTGGTATGATTGACAGTAGGCTCC